CTTCCTCCAGACTCTTTGTAATGTAAGAGAATTGTCTCAAAAGCTTAGTTGGGTGTTTATCAACTGCAGATCTACACATTCTCACTAATATAGCGCCAAGGTATTTTCATGCCATCAAGAACATATATGATGTTACCAATTACATAGAAGAAAATATAAGCCTTTGATCAGGCTTAGACAGTAAAAGCCTTTCAACAAATTTAACTACCCACTATGAGGAGGTAAGGGAGTTTCTTTCTCATAAACACCGTTTGGACAGGACAGCATGATGGAGTGTGAAAGGCACAGTTGTGGATAAGCAACAGATACTGCTTTGGGTCCCCTCTGAGTTTTTAGGTAGAATTCACAGCAAGGACCATCCTTTAGGAAAATACTGGATTATTATTAAGATTTTAGGACTCTTATCAAGAAGAGAGGCTATTGAATCAACTGCTCTCACTTGATAATCTTTTTAAATAAATAAATGAGAGAGAGAGAGAGAGAGAGAGTGTGTGTGTGTGTGTGGTTATTTCTGCACATAGCATAAGACACATGCTTTAGTACCTAAAAGAAAAGGGGCATATTCACAAACAAATCTTGGTCTAGGGTTGTGTAGCCATGGAAAATAGTAGGCATCCTATTCCGTCTGCTCAACCTCTATTCATACCCTCAGCCAAACACTTTCATTCAATAATGAAATTAAATAATATAAAGATGTGCCAATACACCAATACTGTTTTATATGCTTCAATACCCTACTATAAAATAAATACAATGACTATGGGTTTCTATCATTTTGGGTTAACATTTTGGTCTGCAGAACTTTTGGGAGCATAAATGTAGTCTAATAGAAGCTTTAACTCTATAATATAAGGTTTATAGCCATTTATGCGGCTAAGAGTTATTGGACACCTAAGTATATCAAGGATTGTATTAAGCACTGAAACACAGAGGTGCAAGGTGTGATTCCCAACAGCAGTTTCCACAGATGAGAAGGAAACCTAGTTATGTACCTCAAAAATCGCATCACCTTGTGTTTGGTTACTATGACAGAGGTTTGGGACAGAGAAGAGAGATGCAAGGCTCAGACTGGGGTGTATGGGAAGGCTTGGGATGGAAGGATATGTGAACTGAATCTTGAATAACTAATTGGAATTTTCTAAATGAGGAGAGAAGGATATTTACCAGCAGGTGGAACTGAATGTGCAAAGATCCCAGGGCAATATAGATGCAAGTAGTTAATAACAGCAGGCATGAGGGATCCATGTGAAGGTGAAGTAGTAGATGGGAAGGGAGGGACATTTGGGCTGCACTAAAATGCTTAACCCCAAAGGTTATAGGAGATCTTGAAGGATTTCAGGCAGGAAAGTAAAAGACGTTTCTGACACTTAGGGTAAGACAAATTGGAATGGCAAGAGTCTGGAGATAGAAAGAAAACAATCGCACCAAAAAAAAAAAAAAAACTATAATGATAGTGGCAATGGGCATGAATCAAGAAATATCAAGAGATAGAACCAAAGGATTTAGCAATCAATTGAATATAAGGGTACCACCACCCAAGAGGGCTTTGAGGATGACTCAGATTTTCTGACGACTGACTGGAATGAATGATTATGACATCCTTTAGGATAGGGAATAAAAAGGAAGTTGGGTTTTATGTGTAGGGGAGGAGGAAATAAGAAATACACTTTTTACAGTGTTGAATTTGAAGTGCTCATGGTTTATTCAAGTAAAGTTGTCCAATGGATGAGAGGTTCCTAAGCTTTAAGGGTTCACATGCCAGCATAATTCATACAAATTTGAGAAATCAATTAAAGACTGCCAACTTTTATTTTGCTAAGTCAAGATACATCAAAACAAAACCCTGTCATCTACTAATAACAACATTTCATTTTTATAAAAGGGTATTTCAATATGAAAAATTAAAAAGTGAGTCAATATAAAAGGCAATTTATTAAATTAAATAAATTTGCCTTTATTTTAAAAATCAACCAAGGGTCCTTATCGTTTTCAATTCCTCTTGCACCAGTATAATGCCAATCACTGACTTACAGCAAGCTACAAATTGGCATTTGGAAACCACTAAAATAGACTATTGCATATTGAGATTTGGAGCCCAATTGAAAAGACTTAGCTAAAGATATAGAGTCATAAGCACATAGTTTGAAGTCGAAAAAAATGAATACTCTTTAGTACTGTTTATTCAGCATCTTCTATGTGCCAAGCACTATAATAAGGGCTTTATATAATATCTCATTTTAACATCCCAGCAATTCTGGGAGGTGAAAGAAGGTGGCTTATTTTTATAGACAAGAAAATGAGACTAGAAATATTAAATTTTCCAAGATCACTGGAGGTATTAAGTTTTCCAAGATTACAAAGCAGAAAGCGACCGAGCTAATATTCAAGGTTTCTCTAACTTGATATTCTATACTTTTAATTGTGACACTACAATGCCACCCTTGAAAGAATACATCACAGGAGAAAAAGAATCAAAGACAGAGCCTTTGAAATACTGACACTTAAGAAGATGTTCCTGACAGCCCAGAAGACGAAAATGAACTGTGCCATGTAGGCAAAGGAGAGAAGAATTTCTAAAAGAAATATATTATCAAAACTGCAAAATGTCACAGAGAAGATGTGAATATGTAAACAAATCTAGGCTGAAAAATTTATAAACTGCATCTACTTCTGAATAAAGTCCAGCAATAGTGCTCAGCAGTCCTGCTGACTCTTTCACATGTTCAGCAGTCACTCAGCTACTAGGCTTATGACTTTACTCTGGAACCCATGTTTCTAACTTCTTTTTCAACTCTAGAACAAATCTGCATCTCCTTTCAGTTATGCACGAATTGTAAGAGGCTTAAACATGGCTCACCTGAGAAGCTGGGTAAAATAACATTTGACTCTTGATCTTGATATTAAAGTAAATCTTTCAGGATCAAATCAAATCATATTCCAATTTACACAATAACATCTATGTTGCAGGCCAAGTAGCTCTAACACTAGGAAAACATGGGCTCAGCTCTTCTCTACATACGGTACAGAACAGATACATTATCTTTTAACTGTGGTTCTCCAGGGCTTTAAGATTGAAAGTGTATCATCCAGGTGACCAAAATAAAATTATGAAAAAGCATTCCTGTCACTATTAAGAAACGGTTATTAAAACTCATTATTCATTTTCCATAGGTCTAATCGTTTTCAAAATTCATCTTCCATCAAAGGAAGCTTCTATTATTTTGACAAACCATGGTGAATAGCACTTAAATTATCACTGAATTATATCACAAAGTTTTGGTACAGAAAATTATAGTGCCCTACATATTGAAATAATGATTTTGTTCATATTACCCACCCTATTTTTTAAGGCCCTCCAAGGTTTGGCTCTAACCTGCTTTCTAACTTATCACTGACTACCCACCTACATGGCCTTCACAAATCTATAAAACTGCTCAGGACACTTTTCTGACAAAATTCTTATTTATATACATTTCCTTCTTTACTGCAAGATAATAATTTCATCATTAGGCTCTGAAGGAAACAGGTTGGATTCAAGTTCCTCAGCATCATTATGAAACCTAGCCCAAATATCAGTATCAATTTGTCCATAAATATGTCATTATATACCTTTAAATATAAAGGCCATTTTTCAAACATAGCCATGATTTCATTTATTATCACATCTAAATATTAAAAATAATTCTCAAATTAGAAGTCAGTGTTTCAATGTTGTCATCTTACACATTTTATTTAAAGTCTTTAATTTGAATCAGAATCCAAACAAGAATCATACATTGCATTTGATTATGTTTCCTAAGTTTCTCAATATTTTTTCATGCTTGCCTTTCTCCCTTTGCAATTTTTTGGTTCTCAAAAAATCAGATCATTTGTCCTGTAAGGTTCCCTACACTCTAAACTTTAATAACTACTTCCTCATGGTGTCTTTTAACATGTTATTCCATCCCCTGTATTTCCTGTAACCTGGTAGTTAAATCTAGAAGATTGATCTAATTCAAAATAAAATGTTGGCAAGAACACTTCAGAAGTGGTGGCATATACTTCTACTAGGAAATATATAACATCTGGTGGTTTCTCTTTTTATGTTGGTAACAACTATGAATGATCATTTCCTAAATCAACTATATCATTAAGGACTCAAAATTAACATTGTATCCTATTTCTTCTTTGTTCATTATCTGTAATACTTTCATGGAGTAAAACTTACCCTCATTAACTATTTGACTTCCCTGAGGTATAGTTTATACAGAAAAAATAAGCAAAATGCTTGATTCTTTCAATAGGAAGGGAATTTTTAAAGATGATTCCTCAGGAAAGAGCTCCGCTAATGTGTTGCCACTAACGGGGAGATTTGCTGTGCCCATTCTTACCTGAAAACTAGTTAGAGGAGCCTCGGTGAGACTACTTGGTGAACTTAACATATGAACACACAGTATAAAAAACCCAGTAGACTGGAATATGACTCCTACCTGACAAATACAATGAGCTACAGGCAGGGTGGTTAGCTGTTGGTGAATGAGCCCAAGGATTGTGAGGTCTGCCTCCATCCCAGAGTTTATTAGGTCAAAGGGGATGTGAAGGATTCCAGTGAATCAGATATGGGTCATGCATGACACAGAGAGACTAGGAAGGTTCATATTATGTTCTATCCAACAGAACCCATTGGATAGGCAATGGGGCTTACATATAAGACCCATATGGGACCCATATAAGTTTCACATGCCAGTAACTGAGGAAGGAGTAAGTAAAGAGCTAGGGGAGAATATATAACTTACATCAAGAAAAATACAGTTGAGAAGTTTCTAAACATGGGGGGTGGCGTCTGAATACCTCATTAGAGAACATTTCATCTTTAAACACCTACTGGAACCAGAAAGTACAAAGCCATATTAAGTCATTTTAAAAACTTCCTTCATCTAATGCTTAAACACAAAGGGAGTTTATTGGAAGAATTTAACAAGTATAATTGAAGAAAGAATTAGGCAATTAACCTGAAGGAATAACAAAAATGCAGCCAAACCTTAGATGTGATAGGAAGCACAGGCTGAAATGCCATAGAACTGCTTACTTGCCTCTGCTTACTGTCAAATGTTTCATTCTCAGCCATTTTTCTTGGGCCTGCTTCTTTACGTCTTCTCTTCAGTCCATTGATTGCTTGATTTTAGATGCCAAGAGTTATAAAGGTTTACCCATCACACCTTCAGCCCTCTGGAGAGAGCGTGCCATCTGTCTCTTTGCCCCAAGCTCCCAAGTTCCAGGGATGGAACTCATTAACTTGTAGCATAGTACCTTCAGAGTTCAGAGCATCCTGTTGAATGAGGAGAGGGACACTGTGACAGACACAACTCATTAGAAGACACAACAAATTCCACAGATGCCTACTGCAGTATCCCAGCACAAGCATTGTGAGTACCAGTTCTGCCACTTAATACCTACAAGACTAAGGATAAATAACTCACACTCTCTGATACTGAACTTACAGATAGGTAAAATATAGGCAACCTTGTTTCTATTTTTATCTAAGGTTTCTGTGATAAACCATGGAGTGAAGATTCTAATAACCTGTTGTAAACTAAAAGCAAGATAAATATGAGAAGGAGGATCATGGTAATGACTATATAATACCCTACGGTAACAAAATATAATATCTTTCTCTGTGTACTTATGGGCCATGCAAATTGTCCCATATAGTTTACCATGAGAGTGTTTCTTGTCAGATATTCCTCTGTCTCATATGTAAAACATCTTTTCTGTTTTTCCAGTCATACAGTAAATGTTATAATGATAAGAGGTGTAGTCTAATTAGGGATTACAAACTGATGGACCACAGATGTGCTTTGTCTTTAATATCCCTAACCATTACTCTCTCCCCAGATCACAGAATCAAACCACTCCTTATTAATTCACCCACCTCCTCATACCTGCCTGACTAATTTGAAAACTATTTAAATGCTGGAGGGTGTAATTTGGGCTATAGGCCAAAGTGTATACCAAAGTGTTCATGCGTGTCTGGGAAGTAGGATCTTTTTCCTACAAAAATAGCGGGATCTGTTTCCAAAACTTTTACCTTTTTTTAAAGCAAACATTAAAAGTTATAGGGATTTATTGTTTAGGAAATGAAAGAGTAAATTTGTCCAGGCAACGAAAGGTCTGTAGCTTGGCTTAAAGTCATCTTTGTATTGATTTCCCTGGTTCTGCTGTAGGCTATTTGCAGGACTGCAGCTAAAACCCATCCTCTCCTGTGACCATTTTCTGCCCAGTCATTTTGTATTTAAAAATGCTGCTTTTCATACTGGACTTCTGGGGATGGAAGATCAACTTCAATAAAATTATAGTAAATTAAATTAAGGAACTAAGCCATTAATGAATTCTAAACTCGTCCTAGATTTCTAGAATATATTATATTAGCATAGCCTCTCAAGATTTTAACATATTTCTGTGTATATTAGTTAATTCATTTAACAATTAAATGTTTAAATTTATCAAATGCTTTTGCTGTATCGATTGAAATAGTCATATTTTTTGCCTATTAATATAGTGAATGCTGTTGCTATATTTTCTCTGTGTTGAGACTTTAGTACTTCCTGGAATAAACTTGATTTGAACAATGAATTATTATTTAATAGCCAAATTTTTGATTAGCTAATATTTCATTTAGAATATTGGAATGTACATTCACAGGTGAAATTGGCTTATAATTTTATTTTATTTATTTATTTTAATAATTTATTAAAATTATTTTAATTTTATTTATCTCATATTGGAATCAAGATTGCACTAATCTCATTAAAAAAGCCAGTAGCTCCTCTACTTTTCTAAAAAATAAACTGTAAGATTAATTTTTCCCTAAAAATTTTCTGTGAAACAGACTAAGGGTTTTAAAGTTTTGGTGGCAGAAAGGTCTTTTGTAATCATTTTGTCAGCACTACTGTTTATTGACCTGTTCAAATTTCCTACTTTGAGCAGGTTATATTTTTCCAAATATGTTATGTCTTCTTATGTGCTATCAACTATATTCCTATATAGTTGCCCATAAATGTTTTTATTTAAAATATGTTATATCTGTAGTTATTTTTTCTTTACATCGTGTGTTTATTTTTCTATCATTTTCCTTTTTTCTTGCTCAGGCTTGCTGCAGAGTTTTTTAAAACAATTTTAACTTGTATTTAAGATTACTAGGATACAAACACAAGTTTGTTACATGGGCATATTGTGGGATGCTAAGCTTTGCAGTTTAAGTGATCACATCACCCAGGTAGCAAGCAGAGTATCCAATAGTTAATTTTTCAACACTTGCGCCTTCCTCCTTCCCCCACCAGTAGTTCCTAGTGTCTATCATACTCATGTTTACGTCCATGAGTACTCAATGCTTAGCTCTCACTTACAAGTGAGAACATGTCGTATTTGGTTTTCTGTTCCTGCATTAATTCACTTAGAATAATGGCCTCCAGCTCCATCTGTGTTGCTGCAAAGAACATGATTTTATTCTTTTTTGTGGCTATGTAGTATTCCACAGTACATATGTACCACATTTTCTTTATCCCATCCACCATTGATGGACATCTAGGTTGATTTTATGTCTTTGCTATTGTGAATAGTGCTGCAACGAATACCTGTATGCATGTCTTTATCATAGAATAATTTATATTCCTTTGGGTGTATACCCAATAATGGAATTACTGAGTTGAATGGTAATTCAGATTTAAGTTCTCCAAGAAATCACCAAACTGCTTTTCACAATGGCTGAATTAATTTACATTTCCACCAGCAGGGTATAAGTGTTCCCTTTTCTCTGCAACCTTCCCAGCATCTGTCATTTTTTGACTTTTTAATAATGGCCATTCTGACTAGTAATTATGGTAACTCATTGTGGTTTTGATTTGCATTTCTCTGATGATTAATGAGGTTGATCATTTTTTCATGCTTGTTGCCCACATATATCTTCTTTGAGAAGTGTCTGTTCATGTCCTTTGCCCACCTTTAATGGGGATTTTCTGTTTTTGTTGCTTTAAGTTTCTTATAGATTCTGTATATTAGACCTTTGTTTTATACATAGTTTGCAAATATTTTCTCTCATTCTGTAGATTGTCTATTTATTCTGTTGATAGTCTATTTTGCTTTGCAGAAGTTATTTAGTCTAATTAGGTCACTTGTCAATTTTTTGTTTTGTTCCAATTGCTTTTGAGGACTTAGTCAGAAATTCTTTCCCAAAGCTGATGTCCAAAATGGTATTACCTAGGTTTTCCTCTAGGATTCTTATAGTCTGAGATCTTACATTTGAATCTTTAATCCATTTTGAGAAAATTTTTGTATTTATGTAGTAAAATGTAGGAGTCCAGCTTCATTCTTTTGCATGTGGCAAGACAGTTATTCCAGCACTATTTATTAAATAGGGAGTTCTTTCACCACTGCTTATTTTTGTCAACTTTGTCAAAGATCAGATGGCTGTATGTGAGTCGATTTCTGGGTTTGCCAATATGTTCCATTGGTCTGTATATCTGATTTTGTACCAGTATCAAGCTGTTTTGGTTACTGTAGCCTTACAGTATAGTTTGAAGTCAGAGGGTGTGATGTCTCCAGCTTTGTTCTTTTTGCTTAGGATTGCTTTGGTTCTTTGAACTCTTTTTGTTTTTTGAGTTTCATATTAATTTTAGAATAGTTTTTTTTCTGATTTTGTGAAATATTATGTTAGTAGTTTGACAGGAACCACACTGAATCTGTAAATTGCTTCAGGCAGTATGACCATTTTACTGTTATGTATTCCTCTGATCCATGATATTGGAATGTTTTTCCATTTGTTTGTGTCACCTATTATTTCTTTCAGAAGTGTTTTACAGTTATCCTTGTAGAGATCTTTCACCTCCTTCATTAGATATATTACTAGGTATTGTGGGGTGTGTGTGTGTGTGTGTGTCCATTAGAAATGGTATTGCATTCTTTATTTGGCTCTCAGCTTGAATGTTATTTGTGCATGGCAATGCTACTGATTTTTGGATATTGATTTTGTATCCTGGATTGAAGTCATTTATCAATTCCAGGAGCCTCTGGAGTCTTTAGGGTTTTCTAGATGTAGAATCATATTGTCTATGAAGAGAGGTAGTTTGACTTCCTCTTTTTCTATTTAGATGCATTTTATTTCTTTCTCTTGCCTAATTGCTATGGCTAGGACTTCTAGTATGACGTTGAGTAAGAGTGGGCATCCTTGTTCCAATTCTCAAGAGGAATGCTTCCAGTTTTTGCCTGTTCAGTATAATATTGGCTGTGGGTTTGTCATAGATGACTCCTATTATTTTGAGGTATGTTCCTTCGATGCCTAGTTTGCTGAGTGTTTTATCATAAAGGGACATTGGATTTTATCAAAAGTTTTATCTTGTCTACTGAGATAATCATGTGATTTTTATCTTTAATTCTGTTTAGGTGGCAAAGCAATTTATTGATTTGCATATGTTGAACCAAGCTTGCATTTCAGGAATGAAGCCTACTTGCTCATGGTGAATTAGCTTTTTGATATGCTACTAGATTCAATTTGCTCATATTTTGTTGAGGATTTTTGCATCAATATTCATCAGGGATATTGGCCTGTATTTTCCTTTTTTCACTGTATATTTGACAGATTTTGGTATTAGGGTGATGCTGCCTTCATACAGTAAATTAGGGAGGTGTCCCTTCTCAATTTTTGGTAAAGTTTCAGTAGAATTGGTACTAGCTCTTTTTTATATGTTGGTAGAATTTGGCTGTAAATCCATCTGGTCTGGGGCTTTTTGTGGTTGGTAGGTTTTCTATTACTGATTCAATTTCAGAACTCCTTGTTGATCTGTTCAGCTCTTCAATTTCTTCCTGATTCAATCTTGGGAGGTTGTGTGTTTCCAGGAATTTATCCATGTCTTCTATACTTTATAGTTTATGTGCATAGAAGTGTTCACAAGAGACTCTGAGAAATTTTGTATTCCTGTGGGATTGGTTGCAGTATCATCTTTGCATTTCTGATTGGGCTTATTTGGATCCTCTTTCTTTGTTAATCTAGCTAGCAGTCTATTGATCTTATCAATCCTTTCAAAGGACAAACTTTTGGTTTTGTTGATTTCTGGTATAAATTTTTGGGTCTCAATTTTGTTCAATTCTGTTCTGATTTTACTTATTTATTTTTTTCTGCTACCTTTAGGGTTACTTTGTTCTTGGGGTTTTTTTGGTTTTTTTTTTTTTTTTGGTTCCTCGAGGTGTAATGTTAGATCATTAATCTGAGATCTTTCTAACTTTTTGAGGTAGGTGTTTAGTGCTATAAACCTACTCTTAATACTGCTTTTGCTG